CCAAAAAGAAAGGGGGGGGGGGGAGAGGCGCTGTTACTTAAGGAAATTGTAACAGGTTACTGGGCATACACAGAGCAGGTAAACCTTCCTGTGGTGATATTGAGCCCTCGCTCCATGGGTGGAAAAGGAGGGGTGGGGGAGAAAACCGCACCATTTAAAGAATATAATAAAACCAAATCCGACTTAAATAACGCAAATATGGAAACAGTGAGTGAGGCTGCGCAACTGTAAACGCTCTTCTTCCTCCCTTTCCCGTGGAAAAGCACAGCAAATAAAAAATAAAGAAACCAAAACCCAGAAAACCGCAACATGCTAACAAGGACCATCAAACCATGAAACCGCGATTACTAGGCAGCAGCCTGCACCCCCCTGGCCTGGCTAGCTGAGGGCGGGTGGTGTGGTCTGCACTGGCTCTAGCCACCTGCACCTCAGCTCCTGCAGGGGAAGGATCCCTGAAGGGACCAGGCCTGCACTGCTGGGAACCTTGCAGCCACCTCCCCAGCCCCTACACGGGGCGCTGGCCTACTCCCGCCATAGATCCCTGGGTCCCTGCTCCATTGAGACGGCCAGGCTCAGACAGAACAAGTGCAAATGACTGTTTATACAAGCAAGGGGAAAACACCCTTTTGCTTAGGGGGGTGGGGTCCTTTGGGCGGTGCTGCCGCGGGAAGGTGCTGGAGCCCTGCACCACGGCCTTGGCCTTCTCTCCCCTGAAAAGCCGACTCCGCACACCGCCCAGCTCTGAGGCTTGTCCCGACAGCAGTGAATGAAGACGCTGTTCCGGTTACCTCCAGGTCACGAGAACAGTGAGGCACTTCTGAAACGAACCCATTAGGAACATTGAAACGAATAAAAAACACCCGCGTCTCGCCAGCCCCGTGGACTACAGGTTGCTGACGTAGGCCCTGCTGTCCGGGAGCGCCTCCTCGCTCCGGCCTCGCCCCAGGGCATATGCGCAGCTCTCGTCCTCTGGGACCACAGCCCTGTCCTGCCCCGGGTCCCTGCAGTTCACAAAAGGTAAGAGGGTGCCGTTGGGGCTCTGCTGGGCGCCCCCACTGAGGATGTTGTCTGCCGCATTCTCCATCTCCTCTATCGTCATGTCACAGGCGTCGGCCAACTCCTGGGTGGTGACCTCGATGAACTTGGGATCTTGAGCAAACTGTCCCAGTCCTTCTGAAATCAAGACCTAAAAAGGCGGGGCAAGAAGACAGAAGAGGGGCGTGGTCACTGGAGTTCAAAGTTCCCTAAGGATGAAGCGGCAGGCTGCTGAGAAGCAAAGCATCTGTGTGTGTACATAACATGTGCCGTGTGTGTGTGTACGGATGCATGGATGCATGCATGTGTGTATGTGGGGGGTGTGTATGCGTGTTTGTGTGTCTGTATTTGTGTGCTAAGAGGGACACTCACTGGAGAGTAGAGATGGGGTATGGATCAAAGGAAGTGGGCGTGCACAGATCAGAGGAGGGAGCTTTAGGCAGGCGGGTTCAAACAAAACGAGGAGGAACTTGCAGAGGAGCTGTGTGCGGACTCCGCTCTGCTTTTCCGCAGGCAGATCACAGCCTGCCTCCTTTTCTTTTCTCCTCTCTGGCCCCCAAGCCATCTTTCACGTTGTCGTTTCCAAGAAGCCTTCACTTTCATTTGGTGATAACCACTGCCTCCACCCCGGCCAGCTGTCTGCAACTCCAGGGCTCCTTGTGTCGGATGCATGGTCTGCTTTTGTTTGGGAGCATGTGCCCACCCTTCCTGCTGGCTGCTTTAGCGACTGCTGAAGGAAGACTCCGAAGTCTCTGAGCTAAGGGGTAGAATATGGCAGGCAGGGCGGGTCTTTTTCTCCCTCGCCCCTGTTCCTCCCCCTCTGCCCGAGTCACTCTCTCCTCACCTTGCCTGACTTTTCTACTGCTACCCTGCCTGTTCCAGCCCTAGCATGCTTATTTTTTCACCTGTTTGCCCTCACCACCACAGTGGGAGCTCACAGAGAGCTAAAACCCATTTTCCCAGAGGTCTCACTACACCTGAGTCTCTGCACCTAGTAAGAGTCTCTGGGACTTGAGATGAGCAAGAACAAGCAAGCTCAAGCGAAGACTTAGCCTTTCCGAGTTGGAAGGACCAGAGTTACTTGACTGAACTCCACTCCCAGGTCCATCTGACCACAGGACAGACGCAGCCACAGCTTGATGGCAGAGACTGACTCCCTTACAGTCCTCTTAGTGGGGACAGCTGTGTTGGCAAGGTCTCCCCTCCACCAGTTCTCCTAGGAGATGGTTTCTAAGGACCTTGCCACACTCGTTGGGGTTTGTTTCAGTTTGTCAAAGGCTCCAAAAATGAGATGCTAGGGTTGGAATCGATGCTCCTCGGGGCAGAGGACTTGTGACACTGAACTCTCTAAAGGAGGAACAGAAGCCAAGGAGAAAAAAATTCCATCTTATACTTGGCCACTCATGCGTTAGAGTCACTGGGAGCCCTGACAACGCCTGTTTCCTCTGGCAAGCTTCTAAAGCTCTGGGGAGCTGTTCTCCTGAGCAGTGAGAGTTGAGCACACTGAACCCTGGCCCTCTTTGTAGGAACAAGTCCCAGCATGCGTGAACACTGGGAGGCAGCAGGGCCTTTCTTGGGTTCACTGGCCCGTGCTTTACTAAGGACTTTCTCCCTGTTCATTACACCCAGTGGCTATCAACTTGTATAGTCATGGTTGTGATTTTCTGCAGGCCAGGCCTTCCTTCAGCAGTTCCCTAGTTTACACACTTGACACCTAGTCTACTTGGGAAGGAGCCAGGATTCCACATCTGCACAAAAGTCTCTTGTTTTCTGGAGTCTCTCCCTCCCCAGGAGTTCAAATTCACATACCGCTTCCACCAGGCTGCTGGCACTGCCATGGAACTGTCTCCCCGGAGCTCCAGCCTGGCTGGGCACGGTGAGGGAGACAGGCCGGGCTCTCCGAGCCATGCTGCTGCCCCCACTACAGGCAGTGGTCTCGTCAGACCAGGAGCTGCAGGGGATGGATGGGAAGCTGCTGTTGAGTTTCTCGCTGGACTCAGCCCCCTCCAGCCGTAGGGTGGGGATGGGCTGTAGGGGCCTGCCCCGGCTGCCAGGGGTGACAGGGGGTGTGGGGCATGCCCTGGGGATCTTGGTAGGAGAATGGCTTCTCTGCAGGAGGGGACTCAAACCTGCCACTGCCAATGCCTGTGGACACAAGAAAAGGAGTTACTAGGAGGGTCAGCCCTCTGCCTTCGGAGTAACTTTGAAGCTAATATTTCCCAGTGAGTTCTGTCTAAAATTCTCGAAGCTCAAATCCCGTCTACCTCACTGAGACTTGGTATAGGAAATATTTTAGTGAGCGTTTCCTTTGACATGATGCATTTCCCTCTAGCTTCAGGACCTTACAACTGAGTGCAATCCTGATCATCCACTGTGTAGACTCTGCCACCCATATTCTCTGGATTCAGTCACTCTGGCTTTCCCATTAGAGCAGAGAGGACAATGATGATGTGTTCTTCACAGAGCCAGAATTCGCCAGTGCCCTCTCAATGCACCGACCTAAAGGCCAGTGTGAAATAAGGTTTTTGAGGTATAGTGTCTATCATTAAGACCTAGACAAAACCAGTAGTCATAACGTCATTATTTGAACTTTTACCATGAAATAGGCCCACTGATAACGCCCTGTCAATCTCAAGCAGGGTGTTTTGACTCCTGTTTAACATTAGACTGATTAACGATTCCCATGTCTGTCTTCTCCATCCCCAAATGCTCCAGAGAATCCTAGGGTAACCCTGCATCCCCACTGTCACTGTGACTCTCTGGCACTGTCCACTGCTCAGATGGGATGTGTTTGTTGAAAAGAATGACACTGTGTGGTGGGACTGTTCATCTCTGGGAGACAGAGAGAACAGGTTGGAGGTGGCAGAAGGACACAAAGAGAAACCTCATTTTCCACCAATGGGCACAAGGGCACATGGACAAAACCAACTTGGAGGAAGCTTTTAAAATAGACCATATAGTGTCCCTATATCCTGCTTTCCTTCCCTCTCCCCAACTCATGGAGTCCCCAGCTTCTGGGCACCTGGAAATGTAAGGGAAGCATAAAGCTATGTTCATTATGTTGGAACAATGACAGTATCATGACAGTAATCCCTATTTAGACAGGGTTTTGGCCTTTGAGTTAAAGTTGTATCAGTTTATAAAACACATTTGTATGCTTGTGCTCACACACACAAACACATGCACACAAGTACTAACATACCCACACATATGTATACACACATATAATCACATGCACACACACACACACACACACACACACACACACGTGCACATATACACACTGATAGCATAGGTCCAAAGGGAGTTTGTAATCACAAAGGTAAACTGGGGAGCTGAGGTTTAGATCCCCATTTGCTGTAGCCTGAAGTTTCTCCTTGTTCTACATCACCAAGAGTGTGTGTGACATTGGTGTTTTCACTTTCTCAGCTGTGCCATGATAGGATAGATTTTATCTAACTCGTCTCCCAGGCCTTGTCTCCTTGGAGACCATTCCCCACTCTTTTTTTTTTTTTTTGCCTGTCCAGCCTAGTCTTAAACTTTCCATCCTCTTGCTTGCTGTGACTGGAAGCATGGCCACCATGCCCAGCATTCCCTACTCTTAACCATGATGCCATCATTTCTGCAGTGCAGTGGATGGACAGACAGCTGCGAAGTTCAGCTTCCAGGTCCCCAAAACCCTAGGTCTGACTGTATCTGCTTCAGAGAGTGCAGCATAAGGCAGTATGTCAGGGAGGGATATCTGAGTGCTGAAGGAGAAGGCTTGAGAGTCCCAAAGCTTCCAGTTAGCATCACAAAAGGAAGCCTCACTAGGATGTCATGGGGACCTGCTTTTCAGAGTCACTGTGGTATCTGCCCTACCCAGTGGATGGTCCTACTCAGGGGGCTGACGCACAGCCATCTGAGAAGGGAAGACAGAAGGGTTTCTGGGATCTGCTGTCTCCTAGAGAGGTGTGGCTTGTGGCCTGTGCACAGGTGTAAATACCTGATGATGAACCAGATGCAAGGGCAAGGCTGTTTTCTGAGAGATGTCTCCCCCTTGATCCTTTTGTCTCTTCAGACATTCCAGGTGGAAGGAGGCCCTTCGACCTGCAAAAGCAGCAGAAGAACTAGAATCAGGACATAGGTGATGGTACCGGTCTGTGACAGCTCTGCTACAGTTAGATCCACAACATCTACCTAGGACCATGTAGTAAAGGCTTAGTCCCCAGTTGGTACAGCTGAAAGGTTGGTTTAATATTTGAAAGGTGGAACCTCATGGGAGCTTTCCGCCTCTGGTCATGTGTCTTTGGAGGAGATCATGGGACACTGGTCTCTTTCCCTCCTTTATCTTCCTGGCCAGGAGGCAAAGGGCACATTTCCCATCATGATGCACTATTGTGCCACAGACTCCAAAGTAATGAGCAGAGCTTCCAAAACTGTGAGCCCCAATTCATCTTTTTTGTTTTTAAGCTGATCATCTCAGGTGTTTTATTATGGTGACAGAGCTGACTGAAAGAGGCTCATTCTCAGGTAAGGCTATCAGTCCCAAGCTCATTTTATGCCTCAGCTTTTCTCCGAGGCATCTGAGTAGCCAATGTCTAAGTCCCATTCCAACAAACTCAGTCTTTGGAGAGCTATCTTGTGGAATAATCTTTTTGTACATTGTGAAGATGTGTCTTTGCCAAGGCACCTTCTGATTGGTTTAATAAAGAGCTGAATGGCCAATAGCTAGGCAGGAAGAGGTTAGGAAGGACTTCCAGTCAGAGAGAGAGGAAAGGAAATGAATCTAGGAGTCCGGGAGACTCCAGAGGAGATGGGAGGGAGCAGGACATTCAGGAGGAGAATTAAAAGCCATGAGTCACACGACAGCATGTAGATGAACAGAAATGGGTTAATTTAAGTTATAAGAGCTAGTTAGAAACAAGCTTAGGCTAAGGCCAAGCTTTCATAATTGATAAGAAGTCTCTGTGTTATGATTTTGGGGCTGATGGTCCAAGAAAGCCTGCTACATTATGTTGTCACTCTGCATGCCTACCAGCCCATCTCTAGAGACTGCTTAAGTGAGGCTTAAACAGTTTCTCAGTTGTCCCTTGGTATCTGACCACTGCCATCTTTGGATGTGACTACTGTCTACATTTCCAGAGAAACATGTGAGTTTACCTAGAGAGGCAGAGCGGAGGAAACTCCTCTTTGGAGATTGCTGGATCTCCCTCCTATCCTCTGGAGATGTCAGTTGTCTGTTTTCATCATCCTGGTAGGAGAGTCTGGAACAGAGAACGTTTGGCGCTTGTTCCTGAAGACTGAGAGGCGCCACCCACCAGGACAGGTGCTATTCCCAGAAAGCAGTTTCCTTTTTCCTTAGTGAAGGCAATGCCTGCCTGTGCACCTACCCTATAGGTATGGGGGACAGGTAGCAGAGTGTGCTAAGAAACCTCGGTCTGCTCTCAGGCATTGTAGTTGTTTCATAGGCCTGCTTGTGGGGGTCCTGGCTCTTGATACATACCCTGTACAGGAGCCTTGTAGTTGATTTTTCTTTATTTTTTCCATTTTTTAGATGCTTGCTTGTCTTTACATAGTAGGTCTATGCTGTTCACTATGGTCATTCTCAATGCTCCCACACTACCGCTACCCCTCCAATTCTTCCCTGCCCGACCATCCCTTCCCTATCAAAAGCACACAAGTCACCTCCTGTAGCAATCCTGCAATCAAACAGTCAGCAGATAGCAGGACAGTGGCGGCAATTAGTGCAGTGCTTCCTAATTAGCTTCCGAATGCTGAGACCCTTTAATACAGTTCCTCATGTTGTGGTGACCCCCAACCATAAAATTACTTTCATCGCCACTTCAAAATTATAATTTTACTACTGTTATGAATCATAATGTAAATATCTACGTTTTCAAATGGTCTTAGGTGAATCCCAAAGGGACCCGTAACCCACGGGTTGAAAACAACTGCCTTAGGGCCTATAGCTGATGACTTATAGACTTTGATGGTGCCTCACAATGAAAACTATATTGTACATATCCCCAGTATCATAGACACACCGAGCCATAGGAGACATCCCACTTTTTGCATGTACCACTCTCTGACTATTTCTATACTAATTTAGTTGGTATTATTTTTTTCAATGACTGTTGGCTATTACCCACTGAGGTAACTTCATGACCCTCCACTGGTCAGTCTTCATTTGGAGAAGCACAGTTGTATCCAGCCCTCAGTGATGTGGATTAGATTTCAGACTGCTACTACTAAAACTCTTTCGTTAAGTATGCTTTTTCATTTTCTTGCAGCACTGAGGATGGGACTCAGAACCATGAGCATGCCATGAAAGCACTCTACCACTGAGCTAGGCTTGAAGCCTGTTTCCTCTGACTCCACCCCTGCAACCAAGTACAGTGATTCTAAGAATGTATGTATGGGCAGGGGAGTTTGGGACATGAGAATCTCATATTCTTACTCTGCCAAGCCTTGCTTCCATCCCCAACTAGAGAAGTCCTCTTCCCAGCCCCGAACATCTTATTCTTGCTCCATTGTCCCCACTCTTGCAGACCTGACTTCTGCTTGGCCTGGTACACAACTCCAGCTACGTGCTGCTGGGTTGTTCTGCATGTCTGTGCCCCTTGGCACTGGTACCACTCCATGGGCAGTTGGTTAGGAAGGTCCCCATTTTCTCCCTCTTCTGTGATCTCTTCCTAAATACTTAGCAGAATCTCCTGGATGCAAAGCTGACTTTTTGGAGTTAGACAAGCATTCAATAAGAACAAGATTCTCTTCTTCTGGGCCTTTAACTTTAGGGCCCAAGAAGCTGGTGCACAGCAAAGCACTTTCTGGAACGTGAAGGGTGTCTGCAGCAGTCATTAACATCTTACAAGGAGCCTAGAGAGCTTAAGCACACACTTCAGAAACGATATTTGTTTTTGCAGTAACTTTCTGTCATCTTCTGCTGCTGTGTTTTATCTATTTGTATCAATTATTATCAACTGAACTGCACATTTATGAGGCATGGCGTGACCATTTGGCATATGTAGATAATGTGGAATGACTAAGTCTGGGCAGTTAATGTCCATTTCCTTGGACAGTAAAGTTTGTTGACTGATACATAATAGCACAGTATTATCAGGTGCACTGTGATAATTCAACAGGTATGGACAATATGTAATGAATGCCTCCATGTTTTTATATTACTTTGTATTCAACACTTTTGAGGTCCTTCTTTTCTAGTTATTCATAAAATATATGCTGGTTCAATTCTTAAGAGCTCTGGTCCTAATCGGGTGGTGGCAGCGTAAGCCTTTAATCCCAGCATTTGGGAGGCAGAGGCAGGTGGACTCTCCGAGTTCGAGGCCTGTCTGGTCTACAAAGCAAGTTCCAGGACAGCCAGGGTTACAGAGCAACCCTGTCTTGAAAGAACCAAAAATCAAATCAAATCAAACCAAACCAAACCAAAAAGCATTGGTCCTTGTCACCAGATGGACATTATAGCCACCCAGTAGATCTAGGTGGAAGCTAAATATTCCTAAGAGGACTGAGCTAGCATCCCTAGGTGTGCCGACTGTGCCTCTCCAAGGCAGACTTAAAAGAAGCGGTCCCATGCATGTTTATTTAAGCATCATATATGTTTACTGACTCACTCTAAGAAATACACCCATGACTTAATCACAGCCTCATAGTTTAAAAGATTTCCTGAAAGTGTCTGCAGCGAGGCAACTTGGCCAAGCTGCACAGGGAATCCTGGGAAGGTGCTACTGACATGCCATTGTCTGGTCCGGAGGAGGGGGTCCCCTCCCTTTTCTAGACTTAGGATCGCCTGGACAGGAGGCTTACATATCTGTGGAGAGCAGGCTGGGCTCACTGCAGTACTCAGCGTCCTCACTCATTCTCACACTGCAGGTCTCTTCTGGAAACATCTCTTGACTCACCGAGGCCCCCTGGCTCTCTCGGGAGTGGCACCTGCAGCATCCAGAGCAGAGAAAGATATCAGCGTCTTCCAGCCCTCTTGCCTCTTCCTCAGAAAGGAAGATGACACTGGGCACATGTAGAGACACAGTCCCACAGCTTGTGATGAAGCTGCAGAGCCATAGAGGTCACAGCTGAGTCAGGGCTCTGTGTGGTAGATTCAAAGAGGTCTGGATTCTGTCCCCAGATCACTTACTCTATGGCCAAGACCTTTAGCTAACCCACTGCCTCAGTTTTCTCCTCTCTAACACTAGCATAACACATTCCCTGTCTGATGCAGAGGCTTAGTCAGTAAAGTAACTGTCACCCAGCATGAGGATCTGAATGCAATCCCTAGTACCCACATAGAGAAGCTGGCACAACTAGCTGAACTGGTGAGCTCCAAGTTCAACGAGAGATCCTGTCTCAGTGGAAAGCAATTGAGGAAGACCTCTGACGTCAATCTCTGTCCTCTAAACACATGCACACATGAGTGCATGCACACCCCACAGTCCTCAACATGCACAAAGACAAAAGTGGGGAAGACGTAGTTTCGAAGCAGAGTCCTGGACTGTGCAATCAGTACGGAGTACCACAGGATAGCTGTGGATGGCTGAGCCTTTAGGTGGCTGTTTGAAACATCTGACAAGTTCCTGGAATCATATTCAATATGCCTTTGCTCTGACCCTGAAGTGAAGGCACAGGGAAGGAACTTCACATGGAGGGCTTGTTCTAAGCAGGCAGAATAAGCTCGAGTCTATGCTGTGCCTGGATACTTCCTGAGCTAAAGTAAAGAACCCGCCACACCTGGATGTGCCTCCGAGTAGAATGCTGTCCCTCCTGGGACAGGGCCTCCTGCCCACTCCGTCATTTCTTCTCTCCCTCTCCCTTGTGTGGCCCAGTGCTTCTCTGCAGCACAGCTCTTATGGGCTCAGCATGTCAGTGCCTTAGGCCTACAGGAACCCACTAGGGCTGTTTTACTACATGGATGTGCAGTCAAAATGCCTCCTGAGTATTTATATTTGTACCCATAGAATAGTGCTCTGATCAGCCTTGGTCAGAGATGCTTCTTTCAGCTATGAGATGCAGAGACTCACATGTGGTCCAAGTGCTGAGAATAATTTACTGTTGAGAGAGCTTAGTCCTAAACAAGACATCTGCATCACTCTTTCCAAGGCTCAAGGAGTATTTGGGGAGAGGGGGCAGGAAGCTGGAGGACTCCACTGTTTGCTGCCTTCTCACAAGACTGGGCCTATCAACATGGCATCACAGAGTGGGCAGGGCTCAGGAGGTTCCACCCTCCATAAGGAGCTATTGGATCTGGGAGGAGAATGGGGGCTCATCTCCAATGTGTAACCCTCTACTCATTCTTATCCAAGCAACCCTAAGTAAACTTAGTGGACCACTTAAAAAAGAAAGGCATGATGGTAGGAAGGAGACTAGCAGGAGAGGAAGGAGATAAGAGAGGGTGATGGGGTATGAATATGATGAAAATACATTATATATGTGTGTGTACGAAACTGTCAAGGAAAAAACTACACAAACCCAAAGTCTGAAAAAGAAAGTGAGGGGTTTTCACAAGGCAAAGGAGGGAAGAGCTGGTACTAGGATTGAATCCTCAAAGGTTGTGGGACTCATGCAAGTGTTGCAGAAAAGGGTGGGGCCACCAAACAGGCATGGGACAATTGTCTCATCTTAATAAATCTCCTAGGTGGAACCAGCTGTCAGAGCAGCACACACACCCTGTGTGGAGATCTCCTGGGTCCAAGGGCTCAGCCAGCACTGCTGTTGGGTGGTTAAAGCAGTTAGTGGCCCAGAGCATATAGTAGGGAGGATGGATGCCATGGCAACGGCATTCGAATGCATGGGCCATGCAGACCTGCATGTAGCCACCTGGAAATGGGATTGTGTGAAAACCAGTGAGCAGGTATGTTGCTCCGTGGATAGCAGATCAGGACACCTGGGATTCAGAAGAGATGCCTGAAGTTCTTGATTATATTCTAGGCCAGAGGGCAAGAAAAGGGGCAGTCACACTGAGAACCAGTGGACTGGAAGGGCAGCTAGTTAAGGGTGATGAACAAGATGCAGAGGGTATCCGTTCCCACCCTGGCTCAGTAGCCTACAGCTGATGAAGCAGACAAAGAAGTACCTGCCGCAGCCCAGAGCATGCCTCCTTAAGGCCTAGAGCAGTTATAGCATCCACCACACCTGCACTTCATGAGGTGTGTCCTACAGCACAGGCAGTGAGGAAAAGGGTGAGCCAGCCATGGGAGACATGGTCAAGACCCCAGGGCCATTCTGCACTACTGCTACGGAGGTGGATACACTGCCCAATCTCAACTGGATAAGATGCCAGGCTTAGGGCCTTGGGAAAGGGCAAGGGCTGGTTTTGTTGACTGGCCCAAGTCACACATCTTGGAGGGCCACAGGTTAACATGTTGAGGAGGGATGGGAGGGGAGAGGACTGTCAGAAGTATGGGATCTCAGAAGACATCTGGGAAACAGCGTAATGTCCTCACTGACATTGCCATGTGTGAGCAGGAGCAGATGTGTGTGGCAAGCTGACTCCAACCTCTAGTTCAGGGCAGTAGCCTTCACTGGAGACTGGAGGCTGCACAGAAGGCCGAGGTGTCTGGGTCTGTCTTTCTTGGTGTTATCTGGCTGGGGTGTGTGAGCCTGCATGCCTAGGCTTACCGTCCCACTTACCTCTTAGAGCTGAGCTTCCATGCTGCCTCCTGTACCCGGATAGCAGGGGACAAGGGGGGCCCATGGCCCTCCACAGTGCTGACTGTGCTGGAGTAGCCAGTGGGATGGGGGAAGCGGCCCAGGGCAGTGTTGTTGGCATTGTTGATGTTGGCATTGGAACCTGTGGATGAGTAGCTGCTGGGGGTGAAAGTGGAGTCCACTAGCTTCTCATGGGATGGTGACTCGGTGTCACCTTGGTTGTTTCCCGTCTTGTTGATATGCAGTGGGCGCTGGGTAGTGAAGGTCTGAGGAAAGTTGCTCCTGCTGTCACTTTGATAGTAGCTGACATGGTTGCCAAACAGGCCTCCAGCTCTCTGTAGACAAGACAGAGGGGTAGGTAGAGAAGACTTTTCTGCCTTCTCCTCTCCTCCCTCCTGCATGCCCTGCTTGTCTTGTATGGAAGTGGTTAAGGAGCTGAGGCCACAGGAAGCCATCTAGCCCTCCAGAGAGGCACACACTCTGGGCACATGGTGGAGAGAGGGACTTAGATGCTCAAGGTTCTCCAATTCCCTTACATGTAGCGCTGGGACAGGAATTCCCTCATGGGCTGGGCAGGCAGGAGGTTGCTGGTCTAGAAACTTCCCTGGAAGTTTGTTCCTAAAGCAGCACCAGAGACTGAGATTGGGTTTCAAGGACAAGTCCTAGATGGCTGTCCTTCATAGAAACCAGCTGTTTAGCTTGGTGGAGCTTGCTGTGAGTGTTGAGGGGTGAGGAGAAGGAATGGAAGATGCGAACCAGATTGTTTTAGTGGAAATACAACTGGCTCGTGGAGCTACAAGGTGTATTGGCCAAATTGAAACTAAGAGTAAAGAGTCTACTATATTGATTATATCACTGCTTCCTTTCCTGTAGGGATTCTTTGAGATTTGAAGTCAGGGACAAGTATTTTTCTTCAATATTCTTTCTTTGTCCCGGAGCGAGGGGTGGGAGGGGTAGTGGTTAGGGGTTGGGGAAGCAGTGGTTTGCAATGCTTGTCTAATTTGATATCTGAAGGTCCTTAGGAGCCAGACCTGGGGACTGGGAGTGAGGGGAAGTAGAAGGGAAGGAGCCAGATTGGAGACTGCTGGCTTATGGCACAGCAGGGTGTGATTTTTCTCACTGCCTTAATATTACTCCAGGAAAGGAGGAGCAGGCCTAGAGGGTACCACAGTGACTTGGATATCATGTATTCCATCTTAACAAGGCAACCCCTGCTTGTCTAGCTGTCACATAAGAAGCCACACAAAATGTGGCCACTTAACCTGATCTTCTTCTCCAAGAAAAGCCAGAAGTTTGTGTTTTTAATTAGATATGCCAGGTATTAAAACAGTGGTAAATAAAACAGGTTTTCATATTAGATGAAGGCCAAGAGTTCCTACTCCACACCTGATGAGCAAATTCTCCAGGAAAATTTCTTTACAGAAATAGGGCTCCCCTGTTCTCTGAGAACCAGTCATATTTTGTTTTGAGCTGCTGTGTCCTAGGAGGATGGCCTGGCACAGAGTTGGCTTGGAAAGGAGACAGGAATGAGGAGACATCTGACTAGGAAGAATATGTCACCCCTCAGAGAGATCAGGCAAACACCAACTTAGTATACCATTGCTCCAAACTGAACGTAATGACACTAATCACAGCACTTACCCTGAAGATGTCGTCTTCAGAGGCAGCAGACACAGCCTCCTTCATAGCCTTGTCCAACTCCTCCTCAGCAGTAAGATCCCCAGAGATGGCCCGTCGGATCTCAGGCCCAATATCATGCAACGTGCGTAAGCCAGCCTGGAACCCAGGGGGACTAGTAAAGACCCAGGTCGTTTCTACTGATCTTTAGTCAGCCAGAACCCTGTTGCTCCTTCCCAAGCCCCTGCCTCCCAGCTTGTCTGCCAGGCAGCTGGACATCCACACCAGGAGATGGGCTTCCCTGGAAACCCTCCCACCCCAACCACCCTAGAGTAGAAGAACCTTCTCATCTATTTAGGAGGAATGAAGGCATATTACAGGACCACCCAAAATCTGCTGTCTCAGGAGCAGAGGTGCTAATAGGACTGGGGGCTGGGAAAGCTGGCAGGCTGGTTGAGGGAAATATATGGGAAAGAATGGAAGAGAGGAAGAGAGCACATTGCCTTCTCATAGCCATCTTCAGGAAGGCTTATAGTGCTCACAAGTTTTCTTGGGATGGGACTTGGCCTCTAAGCAGCCAGTGAGACTTGGATCCTGGCTAGGGTCAGAGGGAAGTGACCAGGACCTGAGTATGAGCACCTCCCTCCAGGCCCTCACCTGCAGGGACAGTGCATTCCTCTGTGAAGGCTTTCCCACCAAACCTTGCTCTTTTCGCTTCTTGAATTTTCGGAAGTACTCTTGGATCAGGAAGGTGGCGTAGAACTTGCCTACTGTGACCTCATCATCTAAGGCACACAGAGAGGAGAAAAGGATGAGCGATTCCACCAGAACTCCAAAAACTTCTTCAACATATTAGCTTTAATTGTTTGATACAAAAGAAAACATGTAGTTTTCCCTGGTGTAAGAAGGGACTTTGAGAGCCCATCCCACGTGA